TCATGGAAATAGGATAACAAACATATCAGAGAGACGCCCCATAGTGCGTGTTACAGGCATTCCGTGACAATAATAAATTCCTATTACAAATATACTGAATTATTTATATTGTTATTGGCTATTGGCCAAACGAATAATAATAATTTATACTGTTAATGTAAATAATAATTTATATTGTTAATTTAAATGTGCGAAATACAACACAAGACAGGGGTGCCTCTAGTGGCCGTTTTTGGCATAATGTTACACAGACGAACGGACACATAAAGATATGCTTCAAATGCTACCACTCATATGCGACTTATATTGATCAATGCGAGTGTGGTCATGTGCGAATGAGCTAAAGAGTGGTAGAGAGTATGCCGTACGAGTTGAAGTTTGTTCAACAGCTCTATCTCATAAACTCATAAGTTATAAGGCTGCTTGAGATGAGGTGAAATTGGAGTTTATGTCCGAAAAGTTGAAAATGTCTATGCAAAGAGCTGCATGTGGCTTGCAAGCCGCTCCTGCCGACCCCTGGTCTAGACCAAACTCCATATGTATATCATTTGAGTGTGTAGTTTGTAAGAGCCACCTCAAACTACAGAAAGCGGGATCTAGTGTATGCTCGGTTGCACTCCCAAGCCACGCCTTTTTTCCCATGAGGCTATGAGCCATTTTTGCTAGGTAAGCTATGCTGGAAAGAAGCCACCACGTTTGCTCATGTAACGTAGTCCACATGACGTGGATTGGCTATAGAACACAATTTTATTATAACCTATACTTGTAATCAGTCAGTTTTCATTCCAAACTTTGAAACAGTATAGGAAAAACATGTTTACTAATTAAGCCTAACAGGGCTTAACTAGCCGAAAACTATTTATATATAACTATTTATATACAACATTTATACTATTTTCTTTTCAATACTGAATGTATTAATCATGTAATTTATGTACATTGATAAAATTCTATTATTTCTTTTTTGACATGTGACATGTTCATGTAGTCATCCATCTTCCCCGCTCTCTCTTGCTAGCATGACAGCTCTAGCTGTTGAATTCTGTGAACAGTGAGCGTACTCTCATATTGCTGCGCTAGCAAAGGAAAAACCGTGCAGGCAAGAAGAATGGGGAGGAGCCTTTGACGTCATCGGTTGTGCTAGCACACATTTGCTAGTGTTTTGCTCTCACAAAGTACTAGTTTCCAGCAGCTCTAAGAGATGATGAAGCTGATTCTGTGTGGACATGTAAAGTTTGATATCATTCATATACATGAGATGTTGTTTTGTTGTGTCTGATATTCTAATCATATTGTGTATTGTTCAATGTGTTAGATAAAGGATTAAGTGCAAGGCAGAACCAAAGAAGACTCAAGGAATCTCCTTGAAAAATTCTTTGTTTGATGTAAACTTGATTTGTTTTTATGTGAGTGTTACGATGTAATGTTGTTGTGAGATCCGGAATTTTATTAACTAAAATTTTAATTAGTTCACTTTCGTTTATGTAACAAATTAGAAGAAAAAAATGAGCTTAGCTGGGAATGTGTAAATCTTCCTGTCATAACTATCAACATTCTATTGTTCTCACATAACTTACAGCTCGACTTGCATAAAAAGTTTATATTAATAGTTAGCATCCCAATTTCGTCACTTGTTTAGGTCCCTGGAACACCTATAACCTTTAGCTCATAGAACATTTGATCACGTACTGGAATTTCCCCGCAAAAAGCTATAAAAGACAGTTCTTACCACCTCTTGGGAGTCTCTTATCGAAAGCCGGACCGACGACATCGAGTCGAATCTACAAACCCACCGAAATTCCAATCCTCCAACATCAATATCCATTTGTCGCAAACTTATATATTTGTGCTCATTAAGACGTTTTATATGATACTTCTGTGCCTACATTCCTTAATCGTCACGGAAACCTATAAAGAGGTATGAAAAAGCATCTAAACTCTCTTTTGAGCTGTTAGGCAGTTTAATGTCAAGATTTGTGTAGTAGTTTTGTCAATTTTGATTATTTTAATAAATTCTTGTTTTATTTGTTAAAATGGTAGACTCCTTTACTCGTATACAGCCTTCACCTTATCGTCGACCCCAAATACTCTCCCTCCACTTGACCAACATTTGAGAGTCCCAACCCTTGGGACCAGTAAAAGTAAAAGAAACATTTAAGCCATCTTGACAGTGAGCAGGTTTAATGACCTGTTGTCCAAACAGGGAGGTCAACTGACCCTAACCTCCCCTGCGGTTTACATTGTCCTCCAGTGAAACCTGATAAAACCAAGGAAACTAATGAGTTGGGGATGCATTTTGTAGATGGAAAGTGTGTGCAGCAGCCAAGTGTGTGGTTGTGTGGTACACTGTCAAATGCTTTTCTGTAACCAATGTATGCCATGTGTGTGTACCTGTGTTGCTTATGTAGGATAACAGAATCAATAAATAGTTGTTCTTTTGCAACCTTTGTGATTTCTACAGCAGTATTTTGTTGTTCTGTAAGAATGTTGTGTAAGAAATGTTTATCAATATGAATATTTTGTTTGCAAGGCAAAGGTAAGAATCTTGTAAAGTGTTGGAAGATATGTAATTGGTCTGTACTATGCAAGTCTTTGGTATTGTTTTTTGGTTTCATGTAGGCAATGCCCTGCATGAGAAAATTTGGCATATCTTGTGGATTGTTAATGATATGAGTTAAGTGTTTAACTAGTTCCTGGTGCTTTGTGAATGTTGTGTACACCAGGTGTTGTTCAGTTATGTGCTTTCTGCATTGTGCAATGGATGTCTTGTATATTTATTTCAACACAGTGCATACTAGGTGTATCCTTCATGTCTTTGCTCTCCTCTTTGATCCAGTCTGCTTCAGCATTGTACATGACAGCAGTAGACCAAAGAGAAGACCAATAATATGAGAGTTCTTCTTTGGCATGCCATTGTGTTGGGAATCTGTAGTGGATTTGGTATTAACTTTCCTGTAGAAGAATTTTTCATTATTTGTGAATAATTTATTTTATTGTTTCTGTACAAAGCAAAATTTTGTTTGAGTTTCCGTGCTTTGTCTGAAAGTTTTTGTTTAGTGTGTGTTAATGTATTCTGTGATGTGGACATTGTGTTGTGTGTGCTTTGTGTGTGTTTTAATTTTCTTGAAAATTTTTTTAGTTTTATTAATTTAGATGTTTTATTATTAGCATATTGTGTCAGCCTGCCTAGCTGCTGTCTAATATTTGTGTTTCTATTCTTTGTCAGGCAGGCTTCTGAAATATTTTTGATTTGTGTGCTTCTGTCTGTGGATGCAGTTTTGGTTTGCAGTAAGTCACTACTGTGACTGCACCTACATAGACTAGTGTGTGAATGTCTAAGTGTAGAAATAGAATGATTTCAATCTGGTATTATGTAAGTGTTCACATAGTGTAGAGTTTTCTCTACTAGTTTAAAAGTGTTGATTTTGGGGATGTGTGGACATTGTGCAGGGACAGTGTCTGTAAATTTTGTGAGTGCTTCCTGGAAAAGAAGAGTGAGTATGATTTAAACCTGAATCTATTTCAGGCAATGAAGTATTGTTATTGTCAGCATCGGTGAAAATAGTGGTGGTAGTAACAGCATTGTCAATGTAAATATTTTGATGATACTGAAGGATTATGTAATCTTTGTTGATGTTGGGAATATTTATTTCTTGATGTAATTGTTCTGCAATCTATTGTTTGATATGTTCTAATATTGTTTGTGGTTTAAGGTTAACTATTATTATTCTTTTTTGATCAACAACCCTTTATACAGTGACAGTGAGATGAAGATATTGTTGTGAGAACATGTGATGTAACTGTTATCTGTGTGCTGTCATGTCTGTTTCAAGTGTTGTGATGGTGTAGTAAGTCTGGATGATAAACTTGTTTATTTCTGATGTCCATTTCATCCATTGGTGTGATTTACCCGCCTTAGTGGTCTGTGGCTGGATTACCTCAGAAACATCAGCCAGTTCCTCAACTGGTGTGAGTATTACAGTAGCCATACTTGGACTAGTGCTGCTTTCACCTCTGGTGGCAAGGGAGACTGTGACTTATTTTTTGAATATGAGCCTCTGCCTAACTCACGAGCATGGACCTTGTTAACCTGAGCGACATCCAAGTTGCTATTACATTTGGATTGTGTTATTACTATTGTTAGATCTTCACAAATGTTGGTTCAGTCACTCTTGGCTTCATTTCTCCCCACAGCTTCACTGGCATTGGTGACCCTACCAAGAGCAGATGCTCTGTTACCACCTTGTTGTGATGAGAGAGCTCAGAATTACTGAGCTCTCTCATCTGGTAACTGGCAAGAGAATATTATTATCATTATTATTATGTTGAATTTAGTGAGTTATCAATATCCTTGGTTGACACTGGTTGCTGTGTACTATACTGGACCAGAGTCAAGGCATAGAAATCAAAACTAGACAAAAATTAAATAAGTGTGTTAACATGTGTCTGTATTCAGGAATTTCTTAACAGTATGACATGTATTCAATATAGTGACCTTCTGTAGTGTGATGTGTTTCAATTCAATTGTAATTTCCCAAGCTTTTGTGTAGTGTGTGTGGTATTACACCTGTAGAGGAGAGAGCAACAGATACAATAAGCACTCTATCCATCCTCCATAGATGCCTTATCTCCTGGGCGAGTTCTATGTACTTGCTGATTTTTTCAGTGCATGTGTTTTGTACATTGTGAGTGTTTAAAATGGATTATTATTATTAATTAGTTCGCTTCTGAAGATGGCTGCTTAGTCAGCTGAAAAACATTTGATTAATAAAATATTGTTGCTGGAAAAGGCTAGAACTGTTTACAAACCACATAATTGTAATGTATAAGCAAACATTAACAGAAGTATTATAATTATGCTTATTTAAAAAAAACAGCTATGGTGTTTTTCTTATAAAAGATTAAGAAACTTTTTGCAAATACCATATTTAGTTATTTCTATTTATAAATTTTAAATGAAAATTATATATTTTTTATTTATTTATAATTTTCTTTTGCAGTTTTTTGTATTTCTTTTGGTCATATTTGCTGCAGAAGTAACAGGAGGACTTTGGGCTTGGATTCATAAAGATGGTGTAAGTCTCTACATTGATTAAAAATCAATTTTCTGTTACTTTGATCATATAAATATATTTATTACATTGATTTTCAGAAATGCCATCAGGCAGTTGATTTTTACCTCCCCTTACATAACATGCCCAAAAACAAATAAATTACAATAAAATGAAGGAAAAAAAAACAGGAAAAGCTATAAACAAACAACTCTATGAAAACCCGATACATTATAATAAAGCACAAACCATTGCCATAAGCTGTTGGGCTATATAACGGCTGTAATAATAAATTATCTGTTATATAACCTGATGGCATAATGGAGTGGTTTTGTGCTTTAGGAAAAGCTATAACATAGAAATACATATACGGCAGAAAGTTATATAAAAAATAAAGATAAAAAACATTTTTTGAAATACATATACAGTCAAACTCTGTTATAATGAGCATTAGGGGATCAGCAAGACTTTTTTGTTATAACTGATACTTATTACATCCATGAAGAATGTGACATAACTAGGGGGGAGAATGGGCACAAACATGTAGGGAGTGCTCCATGAGTGATAAATTTTGTAGCTATGCCAGTTACAATTAGTGAAATCTATCTTTTAATTTTTAATTTTAAATAAGTTTATTCAAAAATAAAAAAATATGTAATTATATTTTATTGTATTTTTATTAATAATGATATAAACTACAACATAATTAATATTAAACAATTTAATTTTTATAATTAAAGATAATACTAATTAATAATATGCTTGGTTCAGTTAGTCTTTTTATCTACAAGTCCTAAAATTGATGTTTACTTTATTTTTTCATAATGTCAGTACTTTAGAAGATGACAAAAAGTATTTCTACACACTTTGACAATTTTAACACCACATTGTAACTTGCAAATAATTTCTACTTTTTGTAAACTGAGAGATTTTTTTTTTATAGACAATTTTCTCATAGAAGGATTTGTTTCTAACTAGGGCATATGGTAATTTTATAATCACAGTGATGATTAGGTAAATTGGCAGAGTAGAGCTAGTCAAGAAAGAGGGGGACAGTCTCTAAAAGGAAAGTAAAGTGATAAATAGCCTTCTAATCTGTGCAGATCATAAAACTAATTATCCAATGGTCATAAAACTAAATAATCCTTTCAGTTTTATCTCTTCCAAGAATTCAGTGCTGTGTTTCCTATTACTAGAACAATTAAGAATGTTCACGTGTTTGCATAGCTACTGAAAATTTGCTCAGTATATCCATGAAGTATGCTTGTTTATAACCATAAGAAAATATATGGAAATATATGTAAATTAAAATTGTTATGGCATTTTGCTTGTTATAACTGAATGCATTACATCCATGTTTGTTATAACCGAGTTCAACTGTATTAAAAATGAGTTTAAAATACATACATAGAGTGGTACTGGCACATATAAAAAAATAATTATTAAGAGTAAAAATGCATTCATAAAAAAATTTTAGAAAATAAATATGTGAAAAAGAAATATATATATATCGGGGTGGGCAAGCAAGAGTTCAGTGGGAGCCGAAATGTAGGTTTTGCAAAATGCATGAGAGCCGCAGTTCTGTACTTTTTTATTCTGTACTGCAGTTCTGTATCGCGATTTTATTATATAATATAAATATTATATAAAACAAATATCGATTTTTTTAATAAACATATTTTTACAAAATTTGTGGAAATAAAATTGTAAAAATAATACAGTAATAAAAAGCAGAAATTAACACTTTCAGCAAGAGCCGNGTTCTTAAGATTATTTTTTAATAAATGTTTTTACTTAACTTGTAAAATTTGAGAATATATAAAGCAACTAAAATTTCATCAACTTTTACTTAAAATAGATGGCTGAAACTTATAAAACAAATATTGAATTTTTTTTAATAAACATATTTTCACAAAATTGTGGAAATAAAATTGTAAAAATAATGAAAAAAAAAACAGAAATTAACACTTTCAGCAAGAGCTGCATTTGCTCATGGTGGATATATATATTTAAAAATTATGTAAAAAAGTTGACACACATGTTTATAATGAGGTAATTTTTTGTGAAGTAAACATTCCATTGGACCCATATTGTCTGCTATTCAATAGAAATAAAGATTTGTGTGATAAAGACAAATGAAAATGAGGAGTATGAATACACAGTGTTGTGAATATTTCTTTTGGAAATTCTTAGACATAGCAAATGTTGTGGAATTAGACCATTAAAATATTTAAAAAAAAGAATATGATCAAAATATTTAATTTTCTAGAAGCAATCCAGAAGTCCTAGTCTTACTATAGCAACATTTGGGTTATCAGTTTGCAGTAAGTTACTAAACTTGTTTAAGAGTTGATAAAGTTTATTGAATTCTCTTGATATTTTTGCAAGGAGGTGTTCCAATGAACTAAATGGGAAAGCAGTATTCTATGATGGATTGAAAATTTGCAAAGAATATGGACCATAAAACAGATTTAGAAGATATGGTTTGATAAAAATAACATAATATCCCTTGACGAATAGCCAGTGATTTTACTAGCTTATCTATATGGCTTTTAAGAGTTAATTTAATATCAGAAATAATCACAAGATCATTATATATGTTGATGTGTTGCAGTGTGGGAGTATTTATGAAAAGGGGTGGTAGATGTGGATTCTCAATTTAAAGAAAAACACTTGATTGCAGATTTTTGTGTATTAATTCTAAGGTTAGTTTTACTGAAGGCAGAAGGTAAGAATTGTAGATCAGATGAAGAACAATAGGGTTGAGTTTAACAACTTTGTATTGTCTGTACAGGTAATAATGGCAGAATTTATATTGATAAACAAATTGTTGATATATGCAGAAAAGTAAAGCCCTACTGTGATCTTGTATAATCAGGCTAAAAAGTAGTAATTCAGTCAGGAGTGAAAAGCAGACTAATGCTGCTAAGTTGAATGCTGCATATGTGTTTTTTTTTTCTTCAAAGTTATCTAGAATTATATGGTAAAGGTTGTATCAAGTAAGTTAGTAGTAAGTGATTGATTACACAATCTATAATGTTGAATTAGTGAGAGTTTTGATGTTATCAGAATGTAAATTTTATTGAAGATGCATATTTTTAAAATTCTAAGCATTGTGACATATAAAGAAATGGGTTGAAAAGATTTTGTCTTTTTTTGGTATTGGTATAATGGTAGATGTTTCAATACAAGGTTATGTTAAAGTATCTTATAAAAAATTCTGGATAAAATTATAGCCATAATCAGTATGAGTTTTATATAGGAAATTAATGGAATGGAGTCTGGAATGAAATTGAGGACCTTAACTTATCTATGGTGTCTTTTTACTTCTAAAAAGGAATAACTGTATTAATTGGTATAGTTGTATAGCATAAATGGTTTATAATCTGCCTTGGGTATAATTTGAAAAAAATTTTTGCATTATTAGATTTATAGGCATCAAATATCATTTTATCAGAAATGGAAGTTTGTTTATTTTGGATTCTTTTAGAAAATTTTTGGATGAATCCCAAAAATTACAGGGATTGGAAGCAAAAGTGTTCATAATACTGTTAAAGTATAATTAATATAATGTCATAATTAGAAATAAAAGTTCTTAAGATTATTTTTTAATAAATGTTTTTACTTAACTTGTAAAATTTGAGAATATATAAAGCAACTAAAATTTCATCAACTTTTACTTAAAATAGATGGCTGAAACTTTTTGGGCATATCTAAGATGATAATGCATTTTAATGATGTTTTAGTGGATGGCTCATGCCAACTGTCCTTCCCTACCCTGAAACCTAATAAACTTAATCAAATGTAGAATTTAATCATTTATGTATGTAAATGCATTGTAATGGAAAATGAAGGTAAGGCCACTCCACCATTTTCCATTATTTCCCCAGTCTCGAGAAACATGACAGTAAAAGTGTGTTTTAAAAATTTTTAAAAATATACTAAAATTATTACTTCAATAATATATGCAGTTCTTTTGTAGTTCTTAACTTTTTTCTATGTCTCAAATTTCTATATTTGTTCCATTATCAAAATCAAATTTTAAATTGTATAGATATATTAATCTAATTGTTTTTCAGATAATTGCTTATGATGAATATTGAACTTAAGTATTCTGTTCTTAAAAATATTTGATTATTCAAATAATAATTAATTCAAATAACTTGGAAATAGTTTTCAACTGTTTAAACTATTTAAAATATTTATCTGCATAATCAAATTCTTTTGGCAAAATCAGTAATAATTTACAATCTAAATATATTATAAATTTATCTACATTGTCTATCGTTAATATTTAAGATGGGAAATTTTATCATTACTTTCAGGTTAAAGATTTGATTACCATACAAGTAACCAATATGGTTAAAAATTATAGCATACAAGAAGATTCCATGAAACAGAATACATTGGTTAAGACAGTCGATGCAATGCAGCATAATGTATGCCTTTAATATTCTATCATTTTATATTTTATTGTACAAAATATTATAAATTTTAGTAATTTTACAATTTTAGCTTCAATGTTGTGGTGCCAATGCACCTGGAGATTGGCACCAGTCTGCATATAATAACAAAGGAGAAAAAGATGTACGTGATGTAGGAATTGGTGGACAAGCTAGTGGTGATTATAAAGTTCCCAGTACCTGTTGCAAGCCAAATGTTAACTGTGAAGAAGCAAGGAATTTAAAGAATTCTGGTGAAGACTTTGAGGGACTTTATAGTGAGGTAATTTTAACATGTTATTGGTAATGAAATCATCTATTTCTTTGACTTACTTGTTAGCTTTTTCCCATGTTTATATAGGGTTCAGCATTCCCATTTTTAATTTGTCCACTTCTTTCTCTCCAGGGTATCCTCTCACCTCCATCCCCTTTCTCTGAAATCCTCTGCCACCTTGTCTCTCTGTCTCAGCAGCAATCTTCCATACTTCCTTCTCTTTATCACTTTCAACACTCAATCCTCTTTCCAATATAGTCCTTACTTCTCTCCACATATCCAACCATCTTAATCTATTTTCCTGCATCATCATACTTATAGGACCCACTTTGACTGTTCCTCTTATGTAATCATTCCTAATTTCATTGTTTTCGTCATACCCACACATGTATCTCAGCATTCTCATCTCCACCGTATCCATCTTCTTTTCCTGGGCTCTTGTAATTGTTTGCATCTCAGCACTGTACATCATTGCAGGTATTATCATAATTTTGTATAATCTTCATTCATTTTGCAGCTTATTTTTTTTTATCACACTGCATCTCATTCATCTTTCTCTAGTTCAGCCATCCATTCTGAACTATGCTGGATTTCTGTACTCATTCCTTTATCATTTGCTACATATGATCCCAGATACTTAAATTTGGAAGCTGTTATTTTTACCTGGAGTTGTATATAATTCTCATCCCCTTCATCTGATGTCATATATACTGTCTTTGCTCTGTTGATCTACATGTCTCTCTCTTCCAGTACTTTTCTCTATTCCTCCAGCTTTTTCTCTATCTTATCTCTGGATGTTTTACATAAAACAATGTCTGCAAACATCATACTTTGTGGTGCCTTGCTCTTCACATCTTCTACCAATACATCTATCACCAAATTGAACAGAAATGGGCTAAGGGCTGGGCCCTGCTGCAGTCCAACTCAGTGAATCCCTCTTCATACCTACATTACTCTTTACTTTAGTCATTGCTTCCTTGTACATTTATATGATTTTATGGTATTCCCTTTACCCTCATACATTTCCATACCTCCTGTCTAGGCATCCTGTGGTATACTTTCTCCAGGTTTATGAATACCATGTGCAGTTCTGCCTGCATCTTTCTACTTTTTCATCAGCTGTTTTACAGCAAAGATTGTATCTGTTGTTCCTCTGCCTGGCATGAAACCAAATTGTTCCTCACCTATAGTTATCTCTTGTCTTAACCTTCCTGTTATTAATAATAAAACATTATTATTAAATAACATACAATGGTGCCTCATACTTCGAATTTAATTTGTTCCAGGAGGTCATTTGAAGTCTGAATCAATTTTTCCCATAAGAAATAATGGAAAGTGAATTAATCCATTTCCGGACCCTAAACAATATCCTTATTGATAAACTTAAAACAGCAAATACACATAAAATTTAAAAATAACACAATTAAATGCTTTGGTAATAAATTAAAACCAGAGAACAATAAATAAAATAATTCAATTTTCATTTCATTATACAGTATTTACTTAACAGTTGACTTTGGCATCTTAAACATTCCACCAGATGTGTCACAAGTGTTTTGCATTCACCTTTTTCACCTCAATCATCAATATTACAACTTTTCTCTTAGATTTTGTTGCCTCCACGTACTTCTTGGATGCCATGCTTTTTTTTTAATAAATGAAGGTTATATTGGATTGAAAAGAAAGTTTTTATGTATTTTTGAACTGTCCTTACTTAACATGGACATGATTTAATTATAACAATTGTGAAACTTAACACATTATTGCTAATATGTGATTGCATTCTTTGTTTAGAAGCTTATTTTAAACTTTTTACTTCACAATTTGTTTGAATAAAATTGAGTTGTAATTATAATGCTTCAGATAAAAAGCTTATTTTGCTATATTTTGAGTTTTGGAAAGTATGTAACACTGTACAAGCAGTAAAAAAATAATTTTAATATATATGGGGAAGATGCTTCTAGACTTCAAAAGAGTCAAATCTGGTTTAAAAAGTTCTGTTTAGGAATTTTGAACTAAAGGATACAAAATGTACAGGATCTCAAAAAACTGTCAACAAAGAAAAATTGCAGCAAAAACTTGTTAAAGATGGATGAATAACACATATAAATGGATGAATACAATACATATAAAAAATAAAGCAAAAAAAAAGCACTGAAAATATAGGTGTAATGACAGAGTGAGAGACAACTTGGATATAAAACAGATTGCATTTATGCTTTGAACACATTTTTTCACTGGATGCACAGTTTGAACTCGTTTTCACTGGATGAACAGTTTGAAGGATGAACTTTTGTCAAATTTAGCTTTCAAACTCTGAAATAATCAAAGTACTAGATACTACTGTATTTAAATTTCAGTATTTTAACATTTTTAAATAAGAAATTATTTATTATTTTAAAAATGTTGTGTATTTATCTACTATGAATTTTGAGAAATGTTCAGTTTTGCTTAATGCAGTAGAAATCCTTTACTGTAATCATGGATAGTGTAAAAACACAATATGTAATGTTATCAGAATTAGCAGTTCTAAAACACAAATTAAAATGCATACAAAACTTTGCTTATTGTAATCAGAGTTTAGTTATAGTTATTATCTTCAGATAAACATAGGTTTGCTGATATCCTGGATTTTTTTCTGTCGTATAGTGACAAAAGACTTTATTCTGAAATTTGTTCCTACAACAAAGTATATATTTTTTTCTTATTTTAAATATATTTCTGTCACTGGTAGAGTAAAAATACATATCTACTGTATGTCCCGGAATTGAAGTTTCAGTATCTTTTGGGAAGAACTCATTTTATCTCAATGAACCCGCAACCATAGGTAAATGGCATTTGAAGTTGTCTTTTCATATTGTTTTCCTCATCATGTGGCTGATCACTTGCAATTGTTATCAATGTTAACTAATGCTGTAAACATTACACATTAATTATTTTAATTTTTATTTTCTTGAAAAGAAAAAACAACTAGTTTTTAGATTGTTGGTGCTTCTTACTTCAATTATATTCTTGCTGCTATTAAAAACTTTACTGTAAAATGTAGCAGGCAAACACCACTAGATAAATTTATTTATTAATATTAAGATTTAAACACATTTTTTAATTGCTTTTTAATTTCAGAATAAATAAAACCAAAATTTCTGTTAATTGTAGTATTGTTTATTTACTTCATTTAATGTTATCTTTAGAGCTAGGATTTATATGATTTTTAGTATATAAATGTCCTAGTTCTAATTGTTGTTCAATTAACATTATGAATATAGTCAAGTCCCAAGTGATTATATAAATGAATTCTACTGTAGTTTAAAAATCTATATTTTGATGAAAAACTTAAATACAGATGTGTTGAATAATTACAATACAGTGTGTGATTGGTTAACAAACATAATCTGTTCCAAGACTTTGTTCGCTATCCGAATTGTTCGTCAACCGATTATCGATTTACCACAGGTTTTTATGGGAATTTGATTAATTCGTTCTGGAGACCCCAAAAAATAAAAAATATATACTTTCTTACTACATTTATTTACATGTAATAATAAAAATGCATATATACACAGTCTTGCATTTTTATTAGTCATGTTTTTTTCTGTTTGTGGGGGTTAAAGAATCTGTCTAATGTCAATTGCTTTTCTCACTACTTTAAGATTTTTCAGAAGTAATTAATAGCATTGTAATTGTAGAGATCCCTAAGACTATTAACCTCAACCTAGTTTGAATGCCATTCTAAGATTGTCATTCTGACATCATCCCACTTCTTGAAAAAAATGTTTAATAGCAGATATCAACATTAATTCCCTTTTTCAGAAGAAAACATATCTCTCCGAGTTCCTTGGTGTTGTTCATTGAAGAGTTCTTGGCATTCTTCTGTCATCAGATCAGTTTCAGGTTCCATTATGAGCTCTTCAATGTTCTTTATTTCTAAGATGTGATTTTTGTTACTCCTTAAGCTGCTTGAGTCTCCTTGATAATACAATATCTTTCTTAGATAAGATTTAACTATGGCCTACTGTAGACCTATTCAAGCCATACTGCCCAACAACAACAGACATCAGGGTGGGTAAGTGGTTCCATCTATCCCTCCTTTCCCCTACTGCCCAGCAACATCAGACATCTGCCCACTCTCTATCTTTGCTATTATACTCTCATCTTTCGAAAATAAAAACCAACGCAAAACTTAACGAGTGCCCGCCCGACAGTCTCGTGAATACTAGAAAAAATTTTTCTGTCAGAAAAATAAAAGGCTGGAATTACAATGGAGAGTTTCAAAGTTCAGAGGAATACTATTCGATCAGTATATACCGGGTTGAGTGTCGATGTTGATGTCTCCCACGCTCCAAAATGTTTTGAATTGTTGTCCAAAGACAAGGGAAGACCAATCGATATTCATTATTTTACATTGCTTCTTCTTGTGTTTGTTCTGTGAGGTGTTTGTTATCCAATCATGTGTTCGTTGTCTGAACATAAAAATCTTTCGCGAAAGTGTTCGTTAACCGATCGCCCACTGTATATCAATTATTTTATGTATGATCATAAATAAATATTTCAAAATTACTTTTACATTGTACAAAATTATACTATGTAAATTAATTCTGTAATGTATTTGTATCTTATGTAATCAGGTCTAATATTGATAATTTGTGTTAAGGCATAGTTCTTGGTTTCCAAGCCATAGGTTTGAATCCCAAATTGGACAAAAATTTTGTTTTTCAGATTTTCAAACAAGCTGTTATTTAGGAAGAGACATTATATTTATTCTAAATTTAGATAAAGAATAAAAAAATAAATTAATAAAGAGCATTTTCTCATGTTTCAATTAGTTTTAGATGATTTTTGTATTAATTCTATTGCATTATCTTTTTGGGGGGATATGATAAATATAAAAGTTTCTTGATAGTTTTGTTGCATACTAGTTTGATAAACTTTAATTATGATAATTTTGTATTTAATATTTTAAATTAGATTTTATCTGAAATCAATCTCTAGATTTTTAAATATTTAAGCTTCCATGAATATAAGAAATTCTTAAACTTATAAATACATGTCATGTAACTATATAATTATAAAACATCTCAAAACTTTAAATATTATATTATTAAAGTTTTTAAATATTTTTGAGATAGTTTGCATGCTAATTTTAAATATAAAAAAAGGCCAGTTTGCATAAATATAAAAATATTTATTTATTGTATATCAAGTGTATAAATGTAGTTCTTAATGGTTATTTGATATTTTTTAATTTTGTCTGTTAATATTCCTGAAGATGGGTTTTCTTTAGGAATCCAAAAGCACAAGTATAATAAAATAAAAAGATGATGAGCAGTTTTGGGTAAACAGAAACTTATGTTTAGATGTTTTTGAAAAACTTTTGGTTTAGTGCAAAATATATTTAAAATGAAAGGTGATATAATACTCAAGATTATGTTCTGAAATTTAGGAATAAAGTGAAATGATTTACAATTTTGTCTTGAATTTTATTACATTGAAGTAATGAAACATAATTTAAAATTATAATAAACTTGATAGTCTATTATAACTTCAGATATGTTTGAAAAACAATGATTTTTTTATGGTAAAATCATTAACAATAAATGGCTGTGATATATTCTGTTACTTTATTATTATTAAAAATTTAAAAATGAATTTGATTTAATATAAAATTTTTTCTATTTTTTGTATATCATGCAAATCATTTGATGGTGAAATTTGAATTTATGACAAGATGAGAAAGGATTTAAAATGAAATTCTCTACATTTCATAAAATATGATTTCTTGTATATAATTTTGGAATTAATTACAGCAATTTGTGTGTGTGTATTTTGAACCTATTTATTAAATTGATTAATTAATATTGTTTTATAGGGTTGTGTGCCTCAATTAAAGAAATATTTGAAAGATCATCTCACCATAATAATTGGAATTGGTATTGGAGTTGGAATTGTCCAGGTATTTATTTTTTTTTTTAAACATCAAACTTTGTTTCTGTTATATAAAATGAATTTATCTTCAAAATAAAGATAAATTTTACCATATTCATTTTATTTTTCAACTAGCAGACCCCGCCACGCCTTGTTGTGGCTCAAAATGTATCTATTATAAATGTGTTATAACACTTCCCTCGTTGGGGGGGGAATTTTTCGAAAAATTTCTTCTTAGTGTACATTCTGTTGACATACCCTATTAAAACGCAATCAAAAACGCAAAAACTCGCATCTAAAATAGTATAATAGAAGCCAAGTTCTTCACAGTAAGCCTTAATCCTGTCCCTTTCCCCCGCGGGGGGAATATCGAAAAATCCCTTCTTAGTGTACATTTTGTTGACGTACCCTATTAAAATGCAATCAAAAATGCAAAAAACCGCATCTAAAATAGTATAAATAGAAGCAGAGTTCTTTACGGTAAGCCTTCCCCGTAAGGCTTACCGTAAAGAACTGTCCATCCCCCATGTTTAACGGAATAATATACAGCCTATGTCCACCCTGAAGTTCCATTCTAAATATTGGTGAAAAAATTTTTGAAATC